TGACTGAAGCATTGCAGCATGACACAGATTGAGACATCAGCTTAGGAGCAAGGGAGAGTATTAAAATGATGAGCAAGCTTGGGGTCATGTTTGCATACAATGCACATGTTCTACAAAGTGGTCACCTAGTCTACATTTGGTCTCCCCATTATGAGGGTGAATCAACTTAGTGAAGATTTTTGGCTGCAGCAATGATACTAGTTATCAAAAGAAAAGTGATTTTTTTTTGACTGTGAGTTACTTTTCAATGCCTGGAAGGTATGAAAGGTGCAGTGTAAATTTGAAAGTCTTTCCCCTTTCCTATTTAATTACTTTAGAGATCAGGGTGAATTTGTGTTTAACTCTGAGGGAATGAAATTTTTGTATCTTCTGTCTTGCGCTTTCTTATCGTCATGGCTCACAGACAGTATTGTTTCCTTTAGGGAGGAATTAATTGATGCATCAGTTGCTTTAAGTGAAATCTATTGCACATGCTGAATACTCCGGAGTGGAAAGAAGTTTATTCTCATCTAACCGTATAGCTTTTTACTTTAAAACTTTATCATACAGTTATAAACACAGTAACAAAATGAGAGGGATGGAAGGAGAACAATAAATCTCCAATGGTGCGTGACAAAATTATTGTCATTTAGAATCATTTTAATTAAAGGGACAAATCCAGATTTAATCACAGCCTAAACTCTGAACATTAGACAAATGATTCATCTCAATATAGTGTTGCTTCAAATATCCAAGCATGAAAATTACTTCTGTTTTTAATGGTGCATTTCTTATGTGTTATGTTTTTTCGAGTTACAAATGTATTGTAATTTATTCCGAGAATTTTCAGTATAAAATACAATTTATGTAAATAGACAATTCCGATTCTTGATGCAGATTTGTAAAAGAAAGAAAAAAAACTTTCACACTTGGGAGTTTACATCATAATGAGCACTTCCCTCCAATTGATAATTGCTTTAAAGTTATCTGTAAAACTTATAAATCTATAAAAATCACAAAAGTATTGGTCCTTCTACTAAAGTTCAAATATGACATTAATATATTCTTTTTCAACTGAGTGCTAGAAGCAACTTGCTGAACAAATTATGCAGTAAACGATAAGCACAACCTTGTCAAAGTAAACAAAAGGGCAGGAAAATGACAAGGCCATTATAAAACAATTTCTGAAATCTGCATGCGATAGGCTACAAGAAAATGACTAGATGTAGGGTTTCAATAAAAAGAAACTCAATGCTAATTTTGACTCGGCTGCAGTGTAGTATTACATAACTATTCTTGCAATTCCCAAATTTAGCATACTACCAGCTCCTGGAAAAAAGTTGTTTGTTATATTCTATCCAATTCTCAAACACCTTGCCCTTTTACAGGCCATCTTGTTTGCTGAAGTTGGGAGTCTTACCGAGCACAAAAGGAAACGATTGGGCCCTCAGAAATAGCCTACTCCTGCTCCTACCTTCTATGTTTATACGTATCTTTGCAAGAATTGCTCGGGATAGTGACCTGAGCCCAACCATTTTCAGCTGTTTCATCAATGACCTTCCCTCTATCATAAGGTCAGAAGTGGGGATGTTTGCTTGTGACTGCACAATGTTCAACCTAATTTATGACAGCTAGAGTACAGGAAAAAATGTGTTTATATGCCACAATACCTGGACAGGATCCAGGCTTGGGTTGTTAAGTGGCAAGTAATGTTCATGCCACACAAGTCCCAGGCAATGACCATCTCTAATACAATAGGATCTAACCTTGGCTTCTTGACATTCAGTGGCATGACCATTGCTGAATTCACCCACTATCAACATCCAGGATGTTACCATTGACCAGAATCTCAACTGGACCAATCACACAAATACTTTGGCTGCAAGAACAGGCCAGAAGCTGGGAATTCTGCAGTGTGTAACACTCATCTCATTTTCCCCAATATCTGTCCATCATTTACAAGGCATAAATTGGAAGTGTGATGTAATACTCTTCACTTGCCTGTATCGTACAGCCTCCACAACAATCAAGAAGCTTGACATCATCCAGAACAAAGCAGCTCATTAATTGGCACCTCATCAGCATTTACTCCCTTCACCACTGATGCAGTGGCAGCAGTGTGTGTCCTATCTATCAGATGAAGGGCATTCATTTGCTGAAGCTCCACAGGCAGCAATTGTCAAACCCAAAGCCTCTACCACCAAGAAGTAGAAAGGCAGCAGATATGTGGGAACATGACCACCTGTACATTCTCCAGGTCAAACACCATTCTAACTTGGAAATATATCGCTGTTCCTTCGCTGTCACAGGATCAAAATCCTGGAACTCCATAACAGTGAATATTGTTTCACACAAAATCTAACAACTAAGTATCTAGTGTCTTGGTGATCAGCAGTAACAACAGTAACTTAGTATTTCATCCAGCTCTATAATGCATGAGCATGGTAATTTATTGATTAAATTTATTTTTGATGGCCAAATAGGAGATGGTAGATGTGTTAGAGGGGTCAATGGTACATCTTTTATTGGTAGCTACTAGTGAAAATGGGCATAGTTTTGGATAATTTTTCTGAAGAAGGGTCCCAACCTGAAACGTCAGCTTTCCTGCTCCTCTGATGCTGCCTGGCCTGCTGTGCTCCTCTAGCTCCGCACTGTGTTATCTCATAGTTTTGTGTAGAATGCTAGCACACGTGATGAATAGGAGCACTGAAGGATTGAGAAACTTGAGCATACAGAAATCTTATACTAAGTTAACACAAATATCTCAAAGCAGTCCAATCCATGTTTCTGTCGTATAAAAGGCTTGACAGAAACATGGCATAAAATTGACCATTTAATGTGGTGGGAAGTACAGGACTAGAACCAATACTGGATAGAACATGATTTGAAAATATATAGAGAAATATGTTACTGCAGCATTATGTTGAAAACACCCTGTGATTTAGTGAAATGCAAGAAAGAAAACTTGGAAGAACAAATCGTCTCTTACTTCAACCACTGAAGCATTATCATTGACAACTCTTGAAAGGGTTAAGTTGGATGGTTAATTATTAAATATTGGGGGGTTTTTTCAGAGTAATTTTATCTATTGTAATGCTCTTGAGAGGTCAAACATGCCATCTAACTGAATTGGGAAAATGCATTTAATCAGTGTTAACGTGCAAGGCTAGCTTCTACAGAAATGGTATTAGTTTTGGGTGAAGTTTCCTGAAACGTTTTTTTGAGAGGCCAGATGAGATAAAAATGTAGATTTTGCAAGATTCAGTTGGGCATTGTGCCCTTCACTATTGATTTCTCTTTTCTCAGTATTTGAGAAAAAGATGAAAGCTGTGTAACCTTTGACTCATGGCATATTTTTGTTTTGCAACCTTGAAGCTGGACCTTTCTTTTCACAAACCCAGAACTTCAACCATTCGTATCGTCTTCAGCATTTTGTTATTGATCACTTTGCCACACATCAGCCTGTCACTGGCTAGGCTGAAAAATTTTTACATCGTGTTGGAATGATGCATCAAAAAGGGATCCACACAGATCAGTTATTAAGACATCTGTGCTCTATGAAGTTCTGAAATCATTATCTGTTTTGATTTTTATGAATGTGCTAGTCTACCTGCAAAAAATGGTAGCAGTCCCTAACTTGATTTCTTTAAAACCCTTCATATTGCAATTAATCTGATTTATCAGCCAGTCAGTTTAACGGTCATTCTGTTGGCATCTGTCCTGTTCATGAAACTTTGCTTCATCTTCAATTTGCAGTTACTATATGGCTTTTGGCAATGGGGAACGATCGTGACAGCAAAAAAATGAAATGGATGTCCTACTGTGTTTTCCTTTCTTCCCTGCTTCCATTTTCCAGCTTAAGGAAGTACAAACATTTCCTCAATTGGAGGATTTGAACCAAAATTCACATTTTATAAATTTTGGATTTTGAAATATTAAACCAATTATTTTATGACTGTGCTGTAATATCCTATTTTATTTTAAAAGTACAATGATGAAAATAAAACTTGCACTGTTTCACGTAGTAAAGCAGAATGCAAACAGCAGTTATTTTTCTGGTCACACTTCTATATGCATTTACATTTTATTTATTCAAGTTTATAGAGGATATAGGAAGCACGAGTTGGCAAAAACTCTGCAATCTGACAGAGTCTGAGGGGTGTGTATAACTTCCATTATCAGATGAGGATCTTACATTGTATAATTTGCGGACAAAGTGCAGATTTGCCCCTAGAAATTGGTTAGTTTGTCTTGCAGATTGTACGTGCTTTTCTCATTGCTCTTTGAGAGACCTTGCTGTGCAAAAATAGGCTGCCATGTTTCCTACATTACAATAGAGATTGCGCTTCATAGGTTTTAAAGTATTATGGCACAAACAGATCATAAAAAGCACAATATAAGTTTTTTTTTTCCCTTGTATTCCTAGGGGTAATTCACCGACATCTTGTTAACCTATCTTTTATGCCCTTCCAGAGGCCCCTCTGCTCAGAAGAATGACTTTTTCTTTGGTTTCCATTATTAGACTCAGGAATCCAATTTATTCTGTTTATTTTAAAAGGATGCTGTTGATTTCATGCACTAGTTTTTTTATGATCACATCTTTCTCTGCATTGGCAAATTATAGTTTGGGTATTAGTTGCCTCAACTCAATTGTTAAACATATGCCTTCAGTCAAATGCTTAAGTTATTTTTTCTTTGTTATCAAAAACATTTGGCATGCTGTACACAGTCTGCTGACTATGAGTATGTTATAGCTGTAAATTGGTTTGATTTTATTTTACATTTGTTTTCCAATTCAACCTATGATATTTTGGTGAGTGGATCACTGACTAGAGATTTTGATTTAGTTTGGGATGGTTTTTCTATGATCTCTAAAAGAACCACCATTCATTTTCTTTCACAAGTACAGCTGGAAATTATATTTAAATTGTATTTATTGAGAATTTACCCTGTGGAGAGCTGCATTTGCACTTTTCAAATTGGTCTACTTGATAAATTCAAAAAAAAATTATCTTTTACAGTTGGATCCTGTGGCATATAGAATGGAGCCTATGATTCTCCCTGAATTGAGTATTAAACCAGTTCTCGTTCCACATCATAAGGGTAGAAAGAGACTTCATCTTGGTAAGCACAGATCCTGAAAATTTAACCCTTCGGGTAAAATTAACTATCTACCTTCATGAAATTTGAAATCTAATCTGAAAATAACACAATTATCATTCTAAAGTAATGAACGATATCTTTCTAGAAAGTTAATTTTACATATATTCAGAAAAGGAGATCAAAGTCTTAGTTATAATAACTGAGCTTTAGTTTTTGTATTTGATTAAACAGTCATATCAGAATATTTTTCTAACATAAGTTTTTTCTTTAAATGTGAATGCATTGTATCCATCATGATTTCTCTGTGAGGAAAAAATGTCGTGTGTTGACAATCAGTAATTTTCTGAACCGTAGTAATTATTTTAATTAAATTTGAAATAGAACTTTGAGTTGTTCTAAGATAGCAGGAACTGCAGATGCTGGAGAATCTGAGATAACAAGGTGCAGAGCTGGATGAACACAGCAGGCCAAGCAGCATCAGAGGAGCAGGAAGGCTGACGTTTCGGGCCTAGACCCTCCTTCAGAAAACGTCAGCCTTCCTGCTCCTTTGATGCTG